CTGAGCTAAATCCCCAGCCCCGGTATCTTCTTTCTTGCTTCACTTTTGTAGAGGTCATCATTCTACTGCTAGCTCCACGGTGAGCTGACCAGCAGTCCCTCTGTCTGTCTGACACACACACACACACACACACACACACACACACACACACTCATACAGAGCTATTACTGTGCTTCAGTGAAGCTGTACAGGGTTTGTGATTGACCACAAAAGCAGACATCATTTGCTCATTAGCGCTAAGTGTTCAGGACGTGCCCCGTTTACTGACCTCCACTAACGGCCTGGGTTTTCGCTCGACTGCAAACCTGAAGTGGCAGAGTTCACAGTAGCTGGTGTTTGAGGATGACAGCCAGTGCTCCAGGCAGCTCCGATGGATTGTCCCCAAGGTCCCTGTACATTCACATGGAGAGAGCAAGTCCTCTTGGCTGCTACCTTCGTGGCAGATCCTGCACATCGGCCGGTCATTGAAGGGGCTGCAAGAGAAGGCGGGGCACCTGCTGGTCACTGGGCTGCGACCACTACCAAATGGACAGCCTTCAGCTCTGTGCCCTTTGGGCCCTCCCCCGTGGTAGATGCTCAAAGAGCCTTGCTTAAAGGCCCCTCACGTGTTTAAACTTGACCTGGGCAGGAGGGCCAGTGGTCCTGGGCACTTTAGCACACGCAGACCACCCACTTTTTTTTTTTCTTTTTGAGACAGGGTCTAACTATGCAGTGCAGGCTGGTCTTGAGCTCACTTTGTAGCCCAGGCTGGTCTCCTCCTGCCTCAGCCTCCCAAGTGCTGGGATTACAGGGGTGCACCACCACGACCAACCAGACCATCCACTTTTGACAATACAAAGAAACAGAGAGTGGTCAATATCAAAGCAGCCAGTTGCGGGCCAAAAGTGATGGGGTGGGGCGGGGAATGAGCAATGTGTTATTTCTAGTCTTGAACATAGATGGAGTTCACTCAGGCAAACTACCACTAAAAAAAATAAAAATAATTGTTGATCATTAAGAATAGAAGTTGTTTTAAAATGATACCAACTGCAGTTTCTGAACAAACTGTATTTTTTGAATCAGGCCAGGACACTTGTATACCAGGGGTTCCTATCAATATGGTGGAGAATGAGAAAAGGGAAGAACTGGCAACATCTCTAAAGCTGCCACACGGAACTACAGACCAGGCCAGGATGAAAGTTGAGCAGCAAAGGGTCCTCTGAGCTTGCAGAGGACGCTTTTGGGAATAGCCAAGACACAAAATTGAAAATGAATAATGGATATGCCCTACCTGCATGACTTATGTCTAAAGTTCTACCTTTAATTTTGGCAAAAACACTCCTGCACATTTCAGAAGGCAAAGTAGTACAGTTAGTGTAGGAATCGCAATCTAGCTGCCTGGGGATGACCAACCAGCTAAATGTGGGTAAGTAACTTAGTAATTGCATCTCCTTGTACATTTAGTCTCTTTAGCTATAAAATGGGCACAGATAATCATTCCTTTCAGATTGCGGTTGTAAGGATGAAGAAATACAGGCTAGGTTAGAAGATCAGGATAGGTGCCAGTGTCCTTGTGGAAAAACTCAGGCCAAGGAAAACTAAATAACATGCGTTTCACCATGTAAGTCTGTGGCCAATGGAAGAAGCAAACTAAGATGGCCTCACTCCTCAGTGGGTAATGTGTCATGTGACAGGACTGTCTCCTCCTCTGATGTTTTTCTATTCTTCGTTCGGCATTCAATTTCAAAAATGTCACTGTAGGGCTGAGGATGTAGCTCAGTGGCACAGTGTCTGCCTGGCAAACGTGAGGCCCTGAGTTCGATTCCTGGTACCAAATAAAAGTCTCTGTGATATGTGACAACCTAGGACCAGCCTCTTTGCCTGTCCTCCTGTCTCTCTTCAAACCCCCGAAGATAACAGTGACCAAGGTATATGCCCCACCACTCTCTTTAACACCATCTCGGATCTAAAGGGAAAAAGCCACGGGAACACATCAGTTTCCCAAAGGCCTTTCTGGGAAAGATCCTGAGACTGAGCCAAGGCTGGAAGGGGATTAAAGAGGAAAAGATCCCTCTTTCCCTCCTGCTCAGAGACCCACGTGGAACAGGAGGTGAAAGATGAAAGAGCTGACGTTTTTCTCCTGGTTTGATTTACTTTGAGCCATGTGTAGATAAAACTCTGTAACCTTCTGCTTTGGATTACTGTCTGGCAGGAGAGCAGGTAAAAAGGCCTGGCACACAGACAGACACGGGCTCAGAGATCTCAGGCATCTCACCCACAGCCTGTTCCTCCTGCTCAACTGGACATCCAGACTCAGCTCACCAGTGCATCACGTTGTGAGTTCTGACCACTGTAAGTTCTCCAATATCTAATAGATATTTTTCCATTTCTTTTCTTTGTGACACTGCACAGAGATTAAGCAGAAGGCAGATGATGTAGACAGCATGAGTGGCTGTGATTCCAGGACTGAGGGCCACCATGTCAGGCAGTGCTGCTGCCAGTGGTTCTGTTGCAGGCACATGTTTAGACTTGGGTGCTGGGGTCTGCACCAGTCCAGGGAAAGAGTCAAATGTAAGTAACTGCTCCTGCATTTCAGAGTGGGACATATCAGCACTGATGCTAGGGAGAAGGTCTGATAATAACACACAGTTTATATTCATAGGTCAAAAGTTTCACTTAGTTATTCTGAAAGCAAGCTGGAGAAACCAAAGCACACTTACAGCTAGCCTGGTAGCCTGCAGCTCACATTCTGACATTAGGCAACAGTAGCACAAGAGAAGACCCTAGGGACAAAGTGCCAACCTGGATGAGCAGTCTCTTGAGCTGTTCAGACCTCCATTCACCCTTGCTTTGGTTCATCACACGAGCAGATAGCTGTGGAGACTGTAACAATGACATCACTTCACAGGGTGGGGTGGACTGTATGTGAGGGGTCATGGTGATCATAGAGGGTAAAGGAGGAGACAACAGAAGAGGCCCTTGTGTGGAGAGAGGAGATCGGTGCCCCTGGACGGCACATACTGCAGGCAACGCCAACCATCACACACCCTGGGAATGTCTCTTCAGAAGTTCTGTCCACAAATCCAATCACTTTGGCTAGTCACCTGAAGCCAGGTGGCTTCTTTATTCTGTTCCAGCAAAGGACTTCTTTTGTTAGCTACTGGAGCCAGGAGTGTAACTGCCACAGCAGTGTCAAAATAACAACTGTAAAGCAAGCAGCCCCGTGTCTTGTGGGATCCTTTCCCCACGGCTCTCTGCAGTGTGACTTTAAGCAGAACACCAGACAACATGAATTTTAGCTTTCTGTCCTATTGTTACAGAAACATGATGACAGAACTTGTGTAGTCTTTTCTCCCCAGCACCCCCTCTCACCTGGCACAAAGACCTGAGCACTAATTACATCCCTTCAGCATTTCCCATCTGACAAATAGTTCTCTGGATCAATTACAGATTCATTTATTTTAATTGTGGTACTACCTCTGGGTGGCAAGAGTCCGCACTACTGTTGACAGCAGCTGCCCGTCCTTGGCTGAAACTTGCATGACATACTGTGGCTGCCCATTCACCAGGCCGCCACAGTCCTCCACAGTCTTCACCACGGGCGCAGCTGAACTGGTGCAGTCTGGCAGGACTTCGGGCAGGTGACTACAGCGGCTGGTTGTCATGGCAACAGACAGCAATTACTCTGCTAATGGCTTCCACATTCATAGAAGATTTCCATCTACGGGAGATCAGAAAACAGTTTACTCGGGCAAGGTGGTTAATAGAAAATGGAGAACTACAGACCCCCTGAATCATCACATACAGTTATGTCACTATTTAATCATCACATACAGTTAATCATCACATACAGTTGTGTCACTATTTAACACAAATAACAGGGCAGATGTGGCACATTATCTTGTTACCATTCAATGGAAGTGTGCACGCACACACATGCACACATTCGTGCGCACACGCCCCACAAGAAACAGTGGATGTGAGCACGAGCACGACAGCAAGCACGGCAGTCTACATGAACACAGGAACCCTGCTTTGCACGAGGGCATGGAGTGATGGCTCTGAAGCCTAGATCTGAAGAGAAGACAAGCAGTTCTACTCCACACCAGAGAAGCAATAATTCTTTGTTGATACTCTCTAAGCTACTAGGCCTGTTATTAAAAACATTTGCAATTATTTTTTCTGGGAAGGAATTATTCTCCCTACAGTTCCATTCTGAGATACTAAGCTTAAAACCAATGAGAGAGAAAAGAAGGAAAGGATAAATGTGGTCAAGCAGCACATTCTAGGACACTATTTGCCAGACATTAATCATCCAATTACTGTTCCACCTTTCTGACTTTCATTGTATGGCAAAATACAATAATACAAATTTGTCTTCAAAATGAACTTCCTTCAAAAAGTTAACCTATTTTAGCTTGCCTTCAATAAAATTATTCATGAAATGATTAGTTTAGCTTGTTTTATTTTTTCAAATGGACACCAACACACACACACTATTTTTGTCTGTTCATATACTGCCTAAAATCCAGGGGCACATGCATCGTCACACGGCGACACACAGGAGAACATAAGCAAGTGATGAACGAGATTTTTCACTGATCACAAACAACCCGTTATTAATAAGGGCCTTCCTCTCTGGTAGACTCTATCATGTAAACTGCAAGGACTTCTATTCCTGATCTGCAAAGTGCAGCCACGGGTCATGACCTTCAGTTCAGAGCATTAGGGCCCACTGGAGTGAGGAACCCCGCTGGAATCAGTAATAGGTCAGCATGTGAGGCATAAGAAATGAAAGTTTAAAAGAAAAAAACTTCGTGCAGGATGGGGAAGAGCCACAGTGTCACAGCCATGCATGCCCTTTCTTCCAGCTTGCTCACCTCAGGCTCCACACGGCTGGGGCCAAGCAGACAGGGGCAGGATTGAGAAAGGACTGAGCTCGTGTCAATAACCAGTCTGCGTTGTCAAACTTCGAAGTTCAATGAAATGAAAACCTTGCCTTCCCTCACTCCCCATCCCTGAGAGGATATCTGGACTTCTCCGGGGTGGGGTCTTCCCAGATATCTGTCTCTAACATATTACATTTTACTTGAGCCCTACAGGCCTCGAAAACAGGATCTTTCCAACTTCCAGAACAAAGCACACCAACTGGACATTCTTAGGGTCAGAATGTCATGTTTACAAACGGGCCGGAGCAGACTGTTTCCTTCCTGACAAGCACATGTCAAGTAGGCTTCACTGTCAAAGATGACTGGACATGCACTTCCTCCCCGCTTTGCTGCGAGGGGTCTGGCTGGCCTCCCTCCCCAGGTGCCCTGCTGCCGTGAGTCCTCTCTGGTGGGCATCTGCCCTGCCCAGCAGCCCCCAGAGCTGACAGTGGGGAAAGGACCGTGGACACCAAGCCTCGGCTGGGGCCTGACACCGGTGCACAGGCAAGGCCTGCCCTGTCTGTGTTACTTTTATGACCACAAGGCTGAACATGCAAAGAGACACAATCATGGATAAGGTAGAGCTTTGTTTTTTTTGTTTTTGTTTTTTTTTTTGTTTTTTCTCCGGTACCGGGAACCGAACTCACGACCTTGCGCTTGCCAGGCAGGCGCTTTGCCGCTGAGCTAAATCCCCAGCCCCTAGAGTTTTGTTTTGAAAATAGGATTTGTTGCTCTATTTTATACTGTGAATCCAAGAAGTGACATTATGGAAAGTACAGAGAAGCACAGACAAAAATATCAAAATTCACTCATAACCCCACCACTCTGGTGACTAGACTACATTTTAGGGGCGGATGTCTTTTTATTTATTTATTTTTTGGCAGAATTGGCAGGGTGGACTTGATTTGTAGTTGAGACTGAGAGATTTTCTTTTATTTTTTTAAACAAGTGATGGTAGCTCTCAGCCCAACAAACAGAAGGATGTCAAAAGCCATTCCTTTTCTAAAACTGTGTAGCTTCCCTCCTCAGGCCTACCCTGACAAAACCCCATTGACATGATTCTAAATTCTCACAATGCCTCACAGCCACGAAGTGCAGCTTCCTGGCATGGCTTTCCAGCTTCACAAGGCAGCTATAGATTAAGAGCCAGGGGTATGTTGGCAGGAAAAGCAGACGCAGTGACCTTCTTGCCGAATGGGATCATTATGTCTGGGTACATTCTGGAAGTCTATTTTCAGGACTGCATATCTCCAGCTTGGAGGGCCCAGGTCTCCCTCCCTGCACTTGATGGAACTGGAAGGGGCGGGGAAGGCATGCAGTGTATCTCTGGGGCCCAGGGTGGTCAGGAGTCAGGCCACCCCATATTCCTCCACCGTAACTTAATTAGGTCCTAGTAGAGAAAATAGCTCTGAGATGGGATGTCACTCCAAGGTAGCACTGCGGGGGCCTGGGTTTAACCCCCAGCATTGCAGGAAAAGCCAAGTGGAAAAAGTCATTCTATGTATGTGACCTAACTCTACAATAAAATGCCCTTAAAAATACTGTAGGGCCGGTGTGATGGAGAGGCCTGTAATCCCAGCTACTTGAGAAGCCAAAGTAGGAGGACTGAAACTATGACCCCACCCTAGGCAATTTAGCAAGATTCTGTCTCAAAATAAAAATATTCGGGGGGGCAGGGGGTAGAACACCTGCCTAGCACGTATGGGGCCTTGGTATTGGGAGAAAAAAGGAAAATATAGATGCAGTTTTCCATAACTCATTTTACATGTGTAATCCCACTTCTGGGTTATATACTTCACTTCACTTGTCTTCTCATAGGCAACAGGGATATTATCAGCCACCTGATCAGTTTATTCCAACAACAGTGGGTTCCAGGTACTGATTTCAGCTAGAGGGACACTGGTACCTCTGCCTCTTCTCCAAGCAAGTCCTGGCTTTCCCTTGTGCCACTCTGCAAGGCCCTGCACCCTAGATCTGCAAAGCCCTCACTTAACCGAGGACCCAGCTGAAGGGATATTCCAGTCCAACACACCAACACGTCTGCAGAGCACCCCAGGTCAGAATCAGCTTCAAACAGGAAGACTGGCATGCTAGCAATGCATCCCAACAGTCCTAAAAGACTATGCTTTGAATTAAAAATGGGGTGGGAGAGATTTCAGAGCATAAGCATGCTTGATCTCAGTGGGGATGACTGAGCAGGTTCCAACCCCAGAATGGATTTTTTTCCCTTTGCTCTTTTTCCTTCTTTTTTCCCTTGAGTAGCAGGGCCTCACAAATGCTAGGCAAGTGTTCTATCAGGAAGCTACACCTACTGGGACTTTTTACTTTAAGACAGAGTCTTGCTAAATTGCCTAGGGTAGGTTTCAGTCCTCCTGCCTTGGCCTCTCAAGTAGTTGGGATTTATAGGCCTGTGCCATCACACGGGCCCTACTCAAGTGGAGGAGGAGGGAAAGAAGCACATTCTGCCCTGATCTTGGTGAAGGGAATCCCAGGAAAAGAGATGTAGGCATGGGGCAGCAGGAGTGGCCTGCAGGTTGCATGTACCACTAGCATGCCTGTGTTCCCCCCAGGGCAGTCACAAATGCTCACTACAGTTCCCTGTCTCACTAGAGACACCTGGGAAAACAGGCTGACACCTGGATGCTAGGAAGAGCTGCGCTGTTGGTTTGCAGTCTAGCACTGGCCTTCAGTGAGCTTTCTGTAAAATTTCAAGCCCCGTTCCATTGCTTCCTTATCAATACCAGTGCACTGCTCTCACGGGAAAGTAGCTTCCAGCCATTGAAGAATTCTTTCTGGAACTTCTCAGGACAAAAACAGTGCTGAGAGAGCAACATAGGTATACACTTGAAATGCCAAACTGCCCTGGCAGGACAGGTCCTTGTGGACCATGCTTGACACCTTGTACAATTTCTTACTCGGGCTGAGAATTAAACATGATGTGGCAGCGGTCAGACTCAGCTGCACAATGGTGGTGAAGCGTGGGAGTAAGTGGACAAGAAGAACACAGTGAAATCAGAGGAGGATGGCTAAATCAACGAAAGCCTGATGACAGAATTGTTAAAATAAAAAGGCTTGTCTGTTGAACTATGATCCTTGCAAAGTACTGAGTATAGGTTCCACAAAAGCGGGAGACCCAACCAGGCAACAGCTAATTGTCACCGAGCTTCTGAAGCAGACTGCCACTGGTGAGTGATTTCCATGGGAACATGGCTGGCATCCTGAGGATGTGCTTTAGGACCGGGGAGAAAGGAACAAAAGCATGCAGGAGAGCACACTCTGCTCACCTCTGCAGCCCCTGTGCATTAGCAGTCATCTGATCTTCCATAAGGATTATGCAGTTAGGAAGAAAGCTCTGCTTTTAGAGGCACAATACCCAAACCTTTGCCCTGGCTCACTACGCACCAGGGTAAGTCACTCAGCCTTTCAGATTTTCCTTAAGTTCTGAATATTTGAAGTTAGTGTGCTAATGTACTAATACTGCCTGAACTACTTCACCTAGTTGTTTATGAGGTCTAAAATGAAAAGTGTTAGTTTTCCATTGCTACAACAAAATACCTGAGGCTGGTAAGAAAAGTTTATTTAGCTCACGGTTTTGGAGGCTGATGGTCCAAACAGCATGGCAGTAGCTCTCACAAGGGCCTCCCTGACTACATCACATCATGACAGATGGCATCATGGTTAGTACAAGAGAAAGAGGAAGAAAGGAGATCCAAGAAAGGAGGCACAGAGCCTTTAGCAGTCAGGAAATATTACTCTTTTATAACAACTCAGTCCCATGGGAACCGGGATTCCT